ACATATAATGCAAAATTACATCTTAAATAAAATAATTTAAGAATATAAATTAACAAGCTATACAAATATGTAACATAGTTTATAATCTAAAAAAATGGTTTGAATAAACCCATGCAAATCAATTTTGTGTAGATATAAATGGAAGAGTTATTTAGTAAAAAATTGCACGGGCTATAAAGTCCTTACAAATGAAGGAAATAAATGTAGTATGTGTATGTCAAAATAACTGAGTTGATAAGTTACTACATAAGTCAAAATTAAGATGGAGGACGATAAAGAATATTAATGTTTAATGAAAGATATGATGGAAAATCAAAACTATTTTAGCAGAAAAGTGGTCAGTTTTTGTGGGAAGTGGTCAGGTGAAGTTGAGACCCAAAATGAAGAAAAAATCTTATCAATTGACATGAGATCAAGAAATGATGTAATTAATACTTTTATGATTAGATTCAAACTAATAACCAAATAGTATAAGATAAAAATATGCTGCTCTTTATACTTATACAATGACAACTATCTACATAGCGATTAGCCTATATGATTAACTATCTGTATTTGTGTCTTAAACTTATTTTTTAAAATTTGAATGAAGGTAATTAATACAATGGTCAAGCATAAAATTAAAAAAGTATGATATAAATACTATTTTATATGGATAATTTATATTAATGTCATTGAAATAAAAGATCATGGATATCAACAGTCTTAAAAAATTTCAAAACCAAAGGAAAAGAAAATATCTCATTCAATCACGAGCATAAAGAAAGAAGAAATAATGCACCTATATTATACATTAGTTTATTTAATTAGCTATTTCGTTTTCATTTCACTAACGACCCACAATTTTTCCATCTTACATTGGTACTTTAATATGTTAACTCAATCTCTATATATTATGAACTCGTGATGTTCTATCTAAATTTACAAAAAGGAACTCATTTTATTCCTTTTTATTAATTTTTATTCCCTCATTGACATGATTAATAAACTAATTATTTTTCTTTATCTACA